TTTAATAGTCCATCCATTTAGCATGTGGACTTCCTCTTTTTCTACTTCCTTCCACCTTTCCTAACATTATTATCATTTTCAATGATTCATGCCTTCTCATGAGGTGTCCAAAGTACAACAGTCTAACCCCCTTTGCAGACAGCGCTTTGCACTGTCTTGGAGGTAAGGAAGGAGAGGGGCAGCCTCACGCTGGGTGCCCCAACCCTTTCCCGAACACATCATCGGAGCGCCCATCGCTCCACACGACGGGCACTCCGATGACCTCCTTCCGCCACAGCGTCTGGACATGCTGCGATGGAAGAGATGTGGAAGAGGTGCCCAACGCCTCTTGCGGTGCACCTTCCACACCTTGCGGAAGGAGTGCTATTTTAGCGCTCCTTCCAGGGCCCTAAAAGAAGTGGATCGGGGCCAAGGAGTGCGGCTACCTCGGCCCCAATCCGCAGCTTCTCGGGGTGGCCCACGGCTGCCCGTCTGCTTAGGGCCTAAGTCTTGTCATCTTTGCTTCTAGGGATATCTCTGGCTTGATCTGTTCTAGGACCCATTTGTTTGTTCTTTGTATTTTATTTTTTTCTCTCCACTTCATTCTAGTTGGTCACATAAAAAAGGTTCAGAAGGAATTTGTGTGATACCATGATGATGAAAGTTATTGACAAAAATTAGGTTAAAAAAAAAACCAAGCAAAATTAGGTAGCATTACCTAATGGCTTTAGAGAGATGTAATTCTCAGGGGTTACTTGAAAACTTATAACATTAAATAGTATTTGATGATGTGTGTCTTCAAATATTTGTGACTTATGGTTACCCTAAGATAAATCTACCATGGAGTTTTCTTGGCCAGACTTGTTCAGAGATGGTTTGCCATTGCTTTTGTCTGAGGCTGGGAGGGTATGACTTGTCCAAGGTCACCCAGTGGGTTTCCATAACTAAGCATGGATTCGAACCCTGGTCTCTCAGAGTCCTAGTCCTGTGCTCAAACCACTACACAGCCTAATCACTTTTGATTCATCATTTTAAGACTTTAACTAAATGCATACTTGGGGCTACCACATCAAACCATGTTTTCCTTTCCCCATATCCCCTGATTTATTTATCATTAGTATGATTAAGTGTTCTGGAGAACATTAAATCTTGTCTGCTATTTGTTGACTTTTCAGTTGCTCCCAGCCAACTCACTCCTGTTACTGATTTCAGTGGTACCAAAACTGAAGGTTGTTTGGACCTAATAATTATTATTTAGATCTGGATTTAATCATGCTTAAACCCACTGAAATCAGAAGGAGTTATATTAGTCATGGCTAACTGATATCCCATTGATTTCAACTGGCCAACTCTAAAACCAAAGATCATGTCTGGATTAGACCCATCATTATGGTCATAGGTACAGCAGTGATGGTAATTACATTCAAGTAGAGTGAACAGCATCACTGATTATATTAGAGATGATCCATTCATAGAAGTAGTGTTAATATTAAATGGACAGCGCTACTGGACCTGTTAAATCACACCAGTAGTAACTTGCATGTTACACTTCCCTATAAGGATGAAACTTGCTTAAGACCAAGGAAATATAGTATTCCAGTTGTTATGAGGGTTTTCTGTCTGAAATGTAATCACCAACATTGAATACCAACACAACTTTATAGTAGAGGTAATTTATATCACAAATGCACAAGAGATTAATATCAAATAAGAATTATAATCTTGCAAATGGAAAATCTGAAGTATAATTCCAAAATAGTTTTTTATATAAACATGCAAATACACATTTGATAATATATGTGTTCACTTTTTGCTTTCAGTTAACGAATTCCACATTTATCCTTCATTAATAAACTGACTTGTAGAATTAGCTTTAAAAAACATATACATCTAAATTAGACCTCTTTGCTAAACACCTGGTTTTGTTTCATTCCATTCCATTGTTTCTTAAAAGCCTTAGTAGCTGGTAGAGTTTTTAAAAAATTGAATATGCCAGAGCAACATTTCTTAAGGAAGAACTATTGCCTGGAGTTCATCTGAAAGATCTTCATATAGACTTCATGTGGACTGCTTTCAAATACAATGAAATGGTAATAATGAAAAGTATAATACCTGCCAGCATTTTAAGACTTAGGGAATTGGGTATGTTTAGCCTGGAGAAGAGAAGTTTAAGAGATGACATGATAGCCCTGTTTAAATATTTGAAGGGGTGTCATATTGAGGATGGGACATGCTTGTTTTCTGCAGCTCCAGAGAACAGAACCCAGAGGATTAAAACTACAGGAAAAGAGATTCCACCTCAAGATTAGAAAGAAATTCCTGATAGTAGGAGCAGTTCGACAGTGGAACACACTTCCTCAGAGAGTGGTGGAGTCTCCTTCTTTGGAAGTCTTTTAACAAAGGCTGGATGGCCATATGTCAGGAGTGCTTTGATTGTGTATTCCTGCATGGCAAAGGTTTGGACTGAATGGCCCTTGAGGTCTCTTCCAACTCTATGATTGTATGATTCTACAGGTCAAAATGGGGCTCATGTTGTGGTCAATGTAGCAAAATGTGTTAATGAAGAAGAACACACATCATGAAAGTCTGCAATGTTTTAATTTTTGCCTGATTCTACTGGGAAAAGCCAGATTCCTCCTCTCCTTACCCCATTGCTGAATTAACTGAGTACAGACTTCTTTTCCACTTTGAATTCATTTTGTATCAATTTGAGTAAGCTGAGGACAAAGGGAGGAAGAGGAGAGAAACTGGGACATTTGAAGTCATTGAAAAAGTGGGACAGCAGAGGATAAATCAAAACATTTGGAGTGTATTTAATAGCCTGTTCTTCCATGGTATCTAACTTTACATAAATTTTATGTAAACTTAATGTAAATTTTACATTAACTTTATATACATTATCAAAGCAGGTCAGATGAGCAACTATCCTCTGTAAGGAATCTGAAAAGAATTTTGAATTAACTGTTAATTTGTGGAAGTTTTTGAAACAGATTAATCAAACTTAATGGTATTTAGTAGTGAAAAATTAGATTGTCCTCCCAGATGGTGGGCCACATTCTTGAATTTCTGATTTATTAATTTCCCCATCCCCAACCAGAATATCCTAAATATATTGCCTTAGAAGTAGAAGATTCAAGGATGAAATACCTTCAAAGAAAATATGTATTAGAATTAAGTGGCCAATATACCATACAAAGCTTGTTGATATTTGCACATTATAGTTTGGTGGCAGTGAGGGGGTAAGGATAGTTTGTTTGTTTGTTTCTTTAAATATTTATATCCCATCCTATATACAAAGATATTAGGGTGAGAACTGATTAGAGGAAATACTGGAATGACTATCAATGGAAGTTCAGGAAGACAGTGCAGAAGCAGTGTTACCCCTGAATTTTGAGAAAACAAAAATAACTATAGATTACACAGTTTTAATAGTTGTTTTTCTATACCCTGGTTCAGTCATTAATCAAAATGGAGACTGTAAGGCCTTTGCACACTGCCAGAAATAGTGCAAATTGAGTCCACTTTAACTGCCCTGACTCAGTGCTAGGGAATCATGGGAACTGTAGTTTATTGTGGCACCAGAGCTCTCTGACAGAGAAGGCTCAGTGTCTCAGAAAAAATTACAATTCCCATGATTCCCTAGCACTGAGCCAGGGCATTAAAGTGGACTCAATTGGCACTATTTCTAGCAGTCTGCAAAGGCCCTGTAGTCAAGAAATCAGAAGACCTAAGCTGCATTTGCATTGTAGAATAAATGAGGTTTGATACTTTTAACAGCCATGGCTCAATGCTATGGGGTTCTGAGATGTGTAGTTCTATGAGATATGTAGCCACCTCTATCTGAGAACTCTGACAAAATACAAATCCCAGAATTCCATAGGATTTAGCCATGGCAGGTAAAGTGGTGTCAAAGTGGTGCACACCTTTTCTTCCTCTTTCCCGCTCTGCGAGTTAGGGAAAATGGTTTTGTGTGCCATCTCTGGCACGTATGCCATAGGTTCGCCAACACAGGCCTAGGGCTTGGAAGGGCAGCTATGAAGGAACTAGACAAGATCCCCATGTGTGATGATACATTATTAAATACCAAAGTCAGAATCTTCATGCCATAGTATTTCTGATTTCTGTATATGGATGTGAAAGTAAAGCAGTGAAGAAAGCTGATGAGGGAGAAAATAACCCATTTGAAATGTGAGCATGCAGGAGAGTTCTAAAGATACCATGGACAGCTAAAAAGACATGGATCCTAGAGAAAATCAGGCCTGATCACTTCAACCCAGAATTACTAAATGGAGGCTGTCATATTCTGGACATGTCATGAAGTGACATGAATCACTGAATAATTAGGACAATGTTTGTTAGGAT